CGACCGGGTGCTCGAACAGGAAACTGTAGAGTTGAAGAAAATGCGAACGCATGGAGATACTATGGATACATCCATCAAACCTTATTCAGTTAAGAAAAAGGAGCGACAGAATCGCAGAACCAACAAGTCTAATTAAGATACTCTGCGCTGCAAAATCGACAAAGGTTCATATATAGGTTGAAATAATCTGATTATCAAGCAGTTACAAATTTAAAAAGAAGAGTAAACCATATTAAATCTGCAAATGAAATTAGTTGGTAGAACAATCTGTCTGAGTTCTTCAGCGTATCGTTCGAGTTGCGGTAAAAAAGGCAGACCTAGTAATACTTTGGTTGAATTTTACATTGACTCATCAAACAACGATCAAACTACAAGATTAATTAACGGTGTGGCAGTAATTCTAGGCTACGTAGTCTAGCCAGTCGCTATATGTGCCGAGATGAGTATATTCGTTAGTACTTCTGGCGAGATCTATTTTCTGAAAATTTCGCAATGAGCTTGGCACACTTACGTTCATGTGGTAGTAAGAACTCGTTGGTTTGCTTACAAAATAAAAATAATGTGGTGTATCTGTGAGATGAGAGATTAAACTAAGAGCTAAATGCCTCGTCATGTCTGGCGTTGTTTCTCTTTTAATCAGCATACTGCAAGCTGCGTTGGTTTTTAGTTTTCTCATGATTAATGCAGCATTCTTGTTTGACAATAGTCTATGTAATTCTTCCAATGCAATTTTTGCGGTTTCTCCTCCGGACAATATACGTTTGTTCAGGTTGACTATATCTTTCGTTAATTTTGCTATTTCATATGTGTTACGCAGTTTCCTGTAATCTTTTACTCCTTCTTTATATATGTCTGATTCGAAAAAATTATCGTCGGCTGATAACCGGCGGGACTGGTTCGAACTAGCGGTTGAGTCATTAATAACGGTCAAGCGACCGCTGCTCGAATGAGTATTGTCATATGCAACAATTTCTTTTACCATTAAAATACAAGCATATAAAAGACAATTAAACACGGGTACCATTCGTTTGTTATATAAATTATTTCATTGTTTATTTGTATATAAAAGAACGAGTGGCAGTTTTCCTAAAGAATAAAAATTAATTAATTAAGGCAAATTATTCGATTTGATACGAAAAATTAGACACGACAAAAATTCCATATTTAATTTTTGAGCCTGAAGGATAATAAAATGACCGAACTAGCTGATAAAACTTTTCAAATGCGTCTCCACCAGTATTACATTACTGGAAGACGTCTTCCTTCGAGCGAGAATCCAAATCCAACAATTTACAGGATGAAAATTTTCGCCCGTGACTCTGTCGTTGCCAAGAGCCGCTTTTGGTTTTTTATGAAGCGCCTAAACAAAATAAAGAAAGCGAACGGAGAAGTTTTGGATGTACAAATAATTGAACCTGAAAAATCCGAGACAGCAAAAACTTATGGAATTTGGCTGAGATACGACTCCCGAACTTCCACCCACAACTTTTACAAAGAGTACAGAGATATCAGCAAAGAAGGTGCTGTTTCTCAAATGTACCAGGACATGGCTGGAAAACACCGAGCCGCCTCTTGTACTATTCAAATCCTCAAGATAAAGTCTCTCACGCCTGAAGAAGTACGTCGTCCAATTAGTATTCAAACTCTCGGAATGAACTTCAAGTTCCCCCACCTACATAGACGCCCAATGTGCCCAAAATCCGTACGCAGAGATTTTGTCACTTCTAGAACTCGCGCGTTCTACCATTAGGTTATTTAGACGTTTGTTTTAAACTGCACTAATATAAGTTAAATTCTTTATTTAATATAGCTACGTATTTGTCATTTAATTCGATTTCGTCGTATTTTCTTTATCTTTCATCTAAAATATACTTTATAACTTATTAATAAACAAATGAAAAATTATTCTTTATAGCCTTATGTTTTTTTTCGCTTTACATGTCAGACAGCGACGATGCTTTGTTCACCGAGACTGAAAAAGAGTTTCTGTCAATAAATAAAGCGTTTAACGATGCTGCATCGTTTTCTGAACAGCTGTGCTCCGACTTTCATCAGGAAAAGTCAACTCAAGGTAACAATTGTGAGGCACGCCCCTCAGGTGTCAAAAGCCACACGACTGGGCCTAAAAATTCCAGTCGAGCAAAGATTAAGAATGACGAATCGGAGTGGGAGGCTAAGGCAAAGGAGAAAATTAACAAAAGCGAAGACTCTCCTATTTTGGAAGACAGTTTGTGGGACTCTATACGCGACAAAGACAGCCAATTAATTTCCATAGAAACAAATATAAAGCAAGTCGAAGGAAGTTTTTTAAAGTTCAACTTCGAGTTTCTCCAACAATACAACAGCAGAGCCCGCCAAACATCGTACTCGGAGTTTTTGTTACAAGCTTGCCAACTTATTTCGTATTCGCTTCCGTTGTGGAACAAGCACATTATCTCGCTCGAAAACGAGTCGAATCTCTGTATCGATTACCCTGTGAATATTCGATTTGGCAAGTTATTTTTACTGAACAAGAGGTTTTACGAAGTTTTTTTTCCAACAAACGCAGATGGTGACACGTGTATTCAAAAAAATCATGCGGTGACAGATAACACAGATTTGACCACGCGGTCCTACACCTTGTTGATTGAGCTTAACAAACGCAGGAACGACTGCCGCAAAATTCTCACAGAGCTGGGAGTGTTACAGTCAGGGGTTATTCAGCGCGAACGACTCGCTTGTTTGTTGAAACCTCACGTTGACAAAGTTGAGTTTAGTAATTACCTCGAAATTACACCTAAGCAAGAAGAAGACATAGAAACAATCATGAAAGACTTTTTCTATGACCAGTATTCGAAAGAGCACATCGATGAGTTAATTTCTACATCGAAATTCGATTTTTTTTCTTTTTTCAATAATGAAAAAGAAGAAGCGGGTTGGTCATCAAATAATAATGGCAGTCCCTCTTCTCTAAAAAATGATATCCAAACTGATCAGGAGTACACTCAAGAGATACTCAAAGACATTTCTAATTTCGTGAGTCTCAACGTCTCCGCCACAGAAGAAAGCTTTTCTAATTTATCTGAAAATGATGAGATTGAAACAACCAACGATAAAACTGCTAAAAAAATTAAAATTGAGCCAATGTCAGAAAACATTGTTAGCTCAGATAATAATCAACTTTTCGTAAAAATCGACCAGTCAATCAACGAATCGAGCGATACGTCTGAGCTCATTGTTGACATTGCGTCAGCAGATTTGGAACCATTAACTGGTAAAGATATGAGTGACGCTTCGGACACTGTCGAAAAAAGCGATCAAAGAAACGAAAAGCTCAATCTTAAGCGACTTTTACGCGGCTCAAAGCGAGTGAAAAACGTTTTCATCGACGACGCTGCGAGTGTTTCTGATAGTTCGCAGAATGAAGACAAAGAAGAGGATAATTTTGATGATCTCGTCAATTTTTACACGGACAAATTAGATGAAGCTGAAAACGCAAAAGCTGTTCAAGAAGCATACTTAAAAGATAAGAATGACGAAACCCAACGTATTTTGGATGACTTGTCGAAAAAATTCGTTAAAAGAAAAATAAAAATATTAACTGCTGATAAGATCATAAGAGATACTGTAGATCTGCAGTTGCATTTAGACTTGGAAAACCAGGAAAACCAGGACCATAGTGACGGAACATATTATCAAAACTTAAGTAATGCTGAAAACGAGAGTTATTCGCTACCAGACATGATTTTGCCATGTTCGGAATACAACGTAAGCAACAAAGATGAGCATGTATCTCGAGTAAAATTTAAAGAAAACAAAGATTGCACAAACAGATTAAAAAATTTATTTAAATAAGAAGACCGCTGAAATTAATCCTGGCTTTAGCTAATACGACAAGTTCTCCAATAATAAAAAAGAATAATTTTGAATTCAACTGATGAGTTTTAGATTAAATATAATCCGTTTTCAAAATTATTTATTTTTCAAAAATGAGTGAGTTGTCGCCGCGAGAGTTGTTTAAACAATTGAAAGCTTCTGACGAAGCTAATAGTCGATGTGTTGACTGCGGAGGTTTGAATCCTCAGTGGGCTTCAATAAGTTTTGGAATTTATATTTGTTTACTGTGTTCAGGAGTACACAGAGGGCTGGGATCTAAAATATCATTGGTGAAATCCTTGAGTATGGATCAATGGGACGATAAGGAAATTTCAATAATGAAGAAAGGCGGTAACCAAAAATTGCTGGATTTATTCGCTGAGTACAATATCATCAACAAGCCAATTCGAATGAAGTACACTACGCAAGTTGCTTTTTATTATCGGGAATATTTGCTGGCTTTGATTGAAAACACCCCTTTGCCCGAAAAGCCTTCATTACAGGAAGGAAGTGAATTAAGTGGCGGGGCTAAAGCTACCAGGCTGAATGCGTCAAAATCTGATTGCCTTCACCCTAGTCAGAAAGGTATCAACGTAGCCAACTACATGAAAGAATTCAATGTTGAAAAAACAGCTCAAAAGCTGAATTCATGGGGTAGTTTTGCTTGGAACAAATTAAACGATTTGACAACAAATGTCGTTAAGGTTTCAAAAGACGTTATCAACAGTGCGCCGACGCAGTCTGTGGTCTCCCATCTTCAAGAAACTGTGACTAAGTCGGCTAATTGGGCCCAAGAAAAAGGCAAAGCCGCAATGGAAAATGTTCAAAAGCAAGGCCTGATTGGCATTGTTCAAGAAACGGCTACCACTGCTACAAACACTGCAGGAACCGCCGTTAATAAAGTACGTAATATACTGGGAGGAGTTAAACCGCACGCTTCCAACGAAAAAATTTTGTCTTCCGAAAATGTAATACCATATGAGGTTGCTTCAGATCATGAAATTAACCAAAAAGAAGAAGTTGAACAACGCAACCCTAGTGTAACCTTGTAAACAGCGAAATTTCTATTTTACATTTTTGTATATTATTCGATCATAAACGTCAAGTCTGAATTTTTTAATTCAGCTAGCACTTGTTTTTTAACATTAATTAATTAACGATTCAAGTAATTTTATGGCCGGTGACATTTGTGGTTGTTCAATTGATGATTGTGCCGAATCAGTTGATGCTATCTCAGTCTTTGAAGACTTATCTAAAGGCGTGTAAAAATTTTTGTAGACGTATTTTTGAGTGATAAATTTTGTAATGTTATTTGTGTCAGACGAACTGGGTCTTTTGAAGTTTGGAGGCAACGTGGCTTCATACTCTTTGTTTACTACTGTATTGCCTCTGTTTTTAATGTATTCAATCATTTCTGGCGTCCAGTCATCAAGGCCTATACTTCGCACGCTAGAAATATGAGACCCTAAACTACGATGTATTCCTGAACACTCGATGCAAATCACGCAACCAATATTGATGCTCACCCATCTTGGATTGAAAGAACCGCAATCTGCGCAATATTTATTATTTTGGTCTTTGTGAATTAACGCGAGAAGTTCAGAAGTTCTCATGGCTGAATAACAAGTAACGTTTGATGCGACCAATAATTAATGAAAAATTAATAATAACACTTTTATAAGGTTCAGAAAACTACCTAGATAATTTCTATTGCGTTATAAAATTTAATTAAATAAAGTAAAAAAATTTAGAAAAACCTCAAACAGGAATCAAGCGTGTGAATCTTTAAGTAAATTAATGATCAATTGCTTAGTCTCTTTCTTTACGTAAGATACAAAGCTTCCATTTGGAAAGATCATAGCAGTGAAAATAAATTGGCTGTTATCAATTTTTGCCATAAGTGTAACACTTCCGGCCTGAAGCAGTCCAGCTTCATTTCGACAGGTGTCCAAACAATCAATCGAGCCAATGGCTTCGTGTTCGAGGATTTGATTAATGTTCACAGACTCACTAATTAAACAAAGTTCAAGGAACTTTTTATTAATGTGGATATATCTACGACGTTGAAAATCATATAAAAATGACGCAACTGAACTGGCTATTCTATAAGGAAAAACTTTATCCGTCGAGCCGGATAAAGAAAACGCTTCAAAAGCACGAATACCAAACGAAATGAAATTTGTACGTTGGTACTCTTTATAGACATTAAACAATTCATCGTTTGCAATAAAATACTTAGATTTGCAACCTTGTTTAATGTACATACTGCGTCGCGAATTACTAGCGACGAGTTCGTAAAACTTTTTGTTTATCGCAGCTATTTCCACGTCTACGTCAGACAACTTCGGAAGCTTGTTTGTATTAGGAATTGAATAATAATCATTGTTATCAACATCAGCAGAGTTTAATCCATAAAATGAACTAATTAACAAATCCGTGTTATCAAACTGGTCAGCTGGTGAAATCAAACATTTAGGTACACTGACTTGTTTGAATCTCTTATTTAATAGAGTTGACTCAGTCAATGTTCCGGCAACACTGTCTTTATATTTAAAAACAGCACAAAAAAAACCACCAGTGTCATTTGTTTGCGGTAAGTAACGGTGCACTTTGCTCAATTGTTCAATAATATGTGAAGAGTAAAACGAACTAAACATGGTTTCGGAAATGTTGTTATCGTAGTTAAGTTCTCGATTTTCAACTTTAGTTAACTCAGAAAACTTGTCGATCATAACGTACGAATTATCTTTACGTCGTATTGGAACTGACCAAGAAGTAAGTCCATCATTTTTGATAAGGCCTAGGGGCGGTTTTACAGGAACAAGTTCAAACTTTTCTGGATATTCATATAAAATACTTGCTACAACAGCTTCATTTTCGAGCGGATTTAGACTGCAAGTTGAATATACTAAGTGACCGGATTGTTTTAATAAGAGCAAGCTTTTTTTAAGCAGTTTGATTTGAAGTCTGTGAAGTTGAACACCGTCATTGTATGACCAACGTTTCCAAATATCGAAGGCTTTTCGAATAGTTCCGTCTCCTGAGCAAGGTACATCAGCAAATACTAAGTCGTATTTCAACTTTTCTGGCAACATAGATCCATCGCAACAAGTTACAGCAAAGCCTGGATGAGCAAAACGCGCCATTTGATGGTTCAAAGTCCCGCATCTCTTTTCATTAACGTCATTTGCAACCAAGCAGCCTCTTGGTAATGAGTTAATTGTATTCTGAGCTTGCATTAAGTCTAAGATCTCCGATGTTTTACTCCCAGGAGCGGCACAAAGATCGAGGATTCGGTAATTATCTTTTATATTTGCAAGTAACGGAGGAATCATACTCACTATTTCCTGTCTGACAACTACTCCTATTTCGGTGTTTTCAATGAGAACCTTGTTAAACTCTCTTAAAGTAGCATTTGGTTTGAGTTGTTCTTTACTAGTTTTTGTAAATTCATACGCCTTCAGCTTTTTGTGGATTCGCTGTTTTGGACATACGTGTGTAATACTCTTGATTTGTTTTTCGAGTCTGTTTTGCAAAATAGAATAAAAAACCGACCTATCTACTAAAGAATATCGAAAAGACAAAGGCAAATGTTTTTTTAAGCTTTCTATCAGCCCGTCATAGTATTCTGCTGGAAACTGCTTTTTATAATAGCAAGAAAAACTCAGGTTTTCAAAATCAATTTCACTCATAATCACGTATATTGTCCTCGAAATATGTTTTCTTTCAGATAAATTTTATTTTCATTTTGAACCGGGTTTGATAAATAGTAAAAAAACAAAATTTATTTTTTTTCACAAAATCTATTCAAGTTTTGAGTCATCCTAGCTAATAATTATCAATGCTTAATATTTACTAGTTTAACATATGGAGGATTTGGAATTTTATTACTAATCTTGAATATGCGACAACCAAGTGACAAAATAGTTAGTCGGATTTTGTCTAAATCGAACGTTTATCTTTACAAAAAAAAAAAACTACCGACCACAGCGAACAAACCGATTTTAGACGGAAATTTAAAACCGTCGAAAAAAAAGTCTGAAAAAAAGCATTTACTTAAAATCAAAAGACAGGTTCGTCTTTCTCTCGATCAGATTGATTTTATCATTGATGCGTGGAAAGCTGCAAACCTGCAGTATGGAAAGTTCATTAACGATTTTTTGTTGAACAACTTCACGAATATTTGCCCCTACAAAGTATTGCTCTACACCGTTGATGCAGCGAAAAATAATTCTGCGCTGGAGCTGTTTCAGTGGATATACAATGCGCTTTTCAATTCGTTTCCCAAGAACATGACTTTCGAGGATATCGTTTCTGATATCCAAAACACAAACACCATTTCTGCAGTCAAAATGTTGATAATAATTGACAACTGGACCCAGTTTTTATGTTATCCCAAAATTATCAATTATATTGAGATAGTTCTGCACAGCGATAAATCTCCCTGTATCTTTTTGCTAAAATCACAACTCTGCCAGTCTTTGATTTTGCGAGAGTATGGACTTAAATCAAGCAACATAAACGATAACGACGAAACTATATTTTTGTTTCCAGGCGCGCCAGCTTTTAACTTATCAGGAGCCGTGTTTCAAAAACAACCATCCTTAAAAAACACATGGCTCGAACTTTTTATAGACAAAGTCGTTATTGCGAACTACCAATTTTTTTCAGAAAAAAAACTCGATCTAAAGGTCAAGCTTTCTCTGCCCGCTAACCCTGTTTCTTGGTTTTTTTCTACTGAGATCCCAAAACTAAAAAATTTAAAAAAACAATCCAGAGAACTCGAATCGAAAACCGTCTCGACAGTTATCTTAAACGAAATCAAAAAGTTGTGTTATGACCGAACGTTTTAGCCGTAATTCATGTAGTAAAACCGATATGTTAAACCTTGTGTAGCTTATTTTTGGTGGTTTCAACCGCCGTAAAAATTAAGTAGTCTCCAATGTAAATACTAGACTTATTTACATCCAAGACCAAACTTTTACGTGAATGAGTACTCAGTTTCACGCAGAATTCACTATATTGTATCTAAGTAATTCATTGTCTTAAGCAAGCCTTACGTTTCAATTTTTCGCGTGTCACTTCTTGTATTTTTGTTTCAGCTCATTTAACTTGTTTATGTTTACGTTTAGCACTGTAGTTTTTAAACTTCAAAACAATGAAAAACTCGCGCTTTTCAAGCTTGAAAATTGGCTTGACTTACGTGGGTAGCACTTCTTAAAACTGTAAATGTTGTACATGGTTTCCGATTCGAAACATTTGTAAAACAACGATTTCAGTGTTCTGTTAATGAATTAAATTACTCGTTGATAGTGCTTAATGTTTTTGCATTTTAATTTTCGAAAGCAGATTCAACTGTTCGTTGTGGTTGTCCAGCATAACCTTCAGCAAATTTTCGTTTTTATAAGTTACTAAGTTCGAGAAGACGCGCTCGCTCAACGCTACAATATCCGTTTCTGGGAATTTTTCGGCGGATAACTCGATGACCTTGACTATGTTTTGCACATAATTCGCTTCAATGTTGGGATAGTGTTTTTTAATGCCATTCATAACCATTGCATAGTGTTCAGCTATAAGAACGCAATTTACAATACTTACTTAAATCATTTTTATCTTTGGCTTCATCGCAAAAAACAATAGCTACTAGAAAGAAGCTAAATTTCATTTTTGATCAATTAATAAACGGCTGATTTTGCGTCAATTATTTGTTATTTTCATACGCTATTTATTGTGCTTGATACGTTATAAATAAGATATGAAAATTTCAAAAGTGCCGTTATTTTATTTGTTGCATATTTGCCAGAGTTACAAGTCATCTCAAGGTTTTTCGATAAATAATCAGAAATGAACGGCTTTCAACTTTTCATAAAAATAAATATTTGTTATTACCAGTTGTCAACTACAATTTCAAAAAATTTTGTTAGTAGTATTGCTGCCATGGCATCTCTTCAATTTTTAAGTTAACTGTCTAACCCATGTTTGAACCAATTGTAACGCGGAAAAGTGTTTTGATCATAACCCCAAAACTAATGACTATCGATTCGAAAAAAATAAATAAATAATATCTCAATTGATGACATTATAACATAAACGTGAGCATCAACGTCTCTAAGAGTAGCTTCAAAAAATATCTCGAACTTAATCGTTATTGGCAAGAAGAAATTGAGTAAACAGCTCGAAAAAACAAAGCAGAATAGCACCTTATTTAATTTCGCAAATTGGCTAAGTTTTTACTGTGTTTGAGATCGTATACTCTGGCAAAAAATTTAGCACTCGATAAAATTCATCGAATGATAATCAATGTAATTTATGCGAAACGTAAATTCAACGTATATCAAATACAAGCGTTCAAGTGTATAAAAACAAAAATAAGGGGTCACCAATAAGCTGCTTTCGCAAATTAGTTTATTTTCAGTATCATACATTTTTGTTTTCGATTCTCAAAAATTGAATGCCCATTTTTTTAACAATACGAAAGAAATTTTAATGATGTTAAAAATCATACAGATTTTAAAATATATTACAACTTGGCCATGAGTAGAACTTTGTCCAATTGTTTGATAAATAGTTAATAAAAGAACTGACGAATCTGGGGATCTTTTTGTTTAGTCTGATATACTAAGTAAGAACTTGAATGTTTACAGCGGGACAAAAAATTCTGACTGAAGATGAACTATATCCTTAGTTTATTGAAAAGTGAAATCCCGTCGAACCAGAATACCAGCGTTTAGAACAGTGGAACAAATTATAATGCCGACGTTACCATGTTTGCGATAGCAAAGATGTGAAATATAGCTAAAATTGAAAGATTTTTCAGTTAATTAATATTGTTTATTCTGATATGTTGTGAGCTGATACTCTTTTTACTGTGGTCAATGATCTTATGAGTTAAGTCATCTACAACGTTTAATATCGAGTTGATATTTATTTTTCGTATTTCTTCTGAGTAATTTCGAATTTCTGATTCCTGCACTAACAGCTTTGCGATATTTGTTGACGTTGCATACAAAGAATTAAATTCAGACGTTAATATTTCTTTTGAACTATTTTTTTTCAAATAGGCAATGACATTTGTCGTTGGGTTTTTCAAATTGAACGAAACAAAAAGGTTGCAGTCGTAATCTTTTGTGAAGACGAGTTTTTTTCGTTTAATAGCTCCGTCTGCATATTCTGATCCTGCGGTTGCATCTTTTGTACTTGTTTTTTTTGAATCTAAGTCACTTGAGTTCCAGTTGATAAAATTTATGATCGAATTGTTCTTCGCGTTTAGATCCGAGCCGTCTTTTAGTTCATCAAGTTGATGATCAATTTCGAATTTTCTTACGTATTCATAAGACGAAAATAATGACCACGAAGTCGCTTCGAAAAGAGAATTAATTATTTTGTAGATGAGTTCGTAGCTTCCGTAGAGTGATGTAAAAAGCCATTGGTAAAACGAAGGCGACTGATAAATTTTATGGTTTAAAATGTAATATAATCTTTGGTTGTATGTAATATAATTATTTTTAGTGTAGGAACGAGCAATTACATGGCAAATATATTTTGAAATAATAGCCGCTAGTTCGACGTTGATTTGTTGTGGAATATAGACATCAGATAAATTTGTTAAGACATGGTAGTAGGTTATGGGGGTGGCCATGTCGGTTTTGGCATTGCTTCGATACCCATGGTTTACGGAGTTTGTATCAAAAAAAATCGACGAATAAAAATCTAAAATTTTTTGTCAGCAAAACTTACACGATAAAGCTGCTTCTTTTTTTAACAAAGAGAACTTCACTGTGTTTGCAGAATAGTGTTCATGAAGCAACAAACTTCGATTTGTTTCATCAAATTTATTTTTTGCATTTTGCATATATAATTACGAATTATGGACAGATAAATATTTCTTTTGGACATGAATAAAAATTAAAGCTAAATAAATTTTTCGATTATCTTTTTAGGAATAAATTTCAAGTTAGTGGCTGGCCCAGCGAAAATTTTTTTAGTTAACATATGCATGGGTACGATGCTAGTGACGTTCTTTACCCGGCAGTCATGCCAACGTGTCAAGATGGTCTTGAACGAGTTAGATGGAATCCATTTGAAATTAGCGCTAGATTCACTTACGGTGTTGGACCAGACTTGGAAAAGATTCTTTTAGAACGTGGTGTCGACATTGATAAAATCAAAGCTGCAAGAGAACTTGTCAAATGGTACAACGAACATGGGGGACCAACAAATATGGAAAAAGTGCCTCCCTACATTCCTAGCTTAAAGTTCTACGACGAAGAGTACCTGAAACAACACGAAAGCATGAAAGATCGCGGTGTTTTCTACGCTAAAAAAAAAGAAAAAACAGAAAAGAAAGAGTCGAACGATATCAGTAACAAATACCAGAAGACTGATGGAAATACCTTACCAGCACACTTGAGAGACAATACGCAAAATCTTACAGCAAAAAGCAATAATTCAAAACCAGATGGGAATACAATGAATTCAAGCGTAACTCCCCCCTTAAACACAAATTCTAGTTCTAGTCTGAATATCCCGGCAAATAATTTGAATTTGAGTTCCAGTGTAACAACCGATAACCCTAATTTAAAAAATAATAATAATAACATGCAGTTAAACTTTGGCCAATCTGCGGCAAACTACTCTGGAAACACCAATTGTCAGAACAATAACTCCACTCTAAACAATCTGTCCTTTAACACTAATTCATGCACTAGCAACTACAACAGTTCTGCAAACAACACTGCAACAATGGATAACCAGTCTTCCTTAGCGCTACCCGACCCATCGTCCTCAAAAATGAACAACACAACTCAAACTTCTGACGTTTTCGCGAACTATTTTAATAGCATATCTACCAACAACGCAGGCACCTCGCTACAATTTACTTATAACAGTACGACTGCCGACAACCTTGCTAAGAATTTTAGCGCCAACAGTCAACCAGTCAAATGCAACGTAGGATCGCAAGAAAAAATACAAATAAGCACAACGCCTACGGTTCAAGAAATTATAAAGCTGCATCCAAGTTACGCAGATTTATTTTCAGAACTGCAAACTAAAATAAAGCAAGATAAAAAAGTTCGAGAGCAGATTGAAGAAGCACTAACTGTATTTCATGTTTTAAACATTAAGATCAGCGAAGTTATGAAAGACAAACTAAAAGATAATTTAGAATTAATAAGTTCTATTAACGCGGAAAAACTCAAGCCTTTCGTTCTGAACCAGTACTTGATCTCGCTTGAAAAAGCTATCAATGAGTTAAAGTTCGATTTCGACAGATTATCACAAAATTTTGTCGTTTTGCCTCATTCAACTCTTTCTTGTTTACTCGAATCGTTAAAACTTAGACATTATCAATTAATGGAGATTGCCAACGACTTGGAAACTTATAATGCTATGACGATAAACGCCACACCGGTTTCAAGTCAAGTAAAAGTTATCGAAGACATTTTAACAAAGCAAGAAAAATTTTTGGCTGATTATACTGATGATTAAAAATTTTTAATTAACAAGAAATTATTTTCGTTGTTATCTAAAGAAAATATATTGGATAACTGACTTCATATGTTAAACTACAAAAGACTGTTACGTGAGCAAGTATGAAGGGTCAATATGGACAGCTAGATAGCCGCGCAAACACCAATTTGAGTATTTATGACGTTGTCATGAAGTATACGAAAAAAAAAAATACTTCTAAGCTGGCAAAAAATACTGATGCTCTCAAAGACGACGTCGTCGACCAGCATGCCTTAAATAAATTTGACGCTAAGCGAGTATTTTTGTCTGATACGTACGACAGCGATGTAATTGATTTGTTTTCTACTAAAACAAATTGTTACATAACCAAAACGAATAATCAAAGCAGACGTATCGAACCTTACGAAAACGCTTATAAAAAAACCAAAAAAGCAGTTTGGAATAAAGAAAATAACGAAAAGTTTTTTCACTTATTATCAATATTTGGTAACGACCCTTATTTAATTCACTCTCAAATGCCGAATTTTACAGAAAAACAAATTAAACTCAAATTTACAAGAGAGAGAAGCAAAAATACTATTGATTACATTAAAGCATGCGAAAATACCGTTCAACTAAACCCAAACTCGATAACAATTTCATACGAAGAAAAGCTTGCTGAGCCCACTGACATAATGGATGTTATTTTCAATAATTAAATATACTTTGGTCTGAATATCCACTTTCCCCTTTTTGGGGCGCTAAAAATTATAATGACGCAAAATGAAAAATCTCTTTTTTATCTCGTCACACTTAATTACGATTCGAGGTTTAAACACACGACGATTTAACCTTTATTTGACCAGGAATCTAGGTTGGAGCAGTCAGTTCATAAAACTTGTCACGAACAATTTAGATGCATCAAAATGTTTACTCAAGCCAGACGTTAAAGACTCAGAAGGCAAGTTGCCCGATTTTTTTACCCACAACTTTTATTCTACTTTAAATAGCTGTGAACTTCACGTCGCCACCAAACATTATAGCAACTCTACGTCTAAAGTCAACCTAGACACGGTCTTAAACAACTTTTATCACTACTGCGTTGCGTTATCTATGAAAAATCCTCCCGCTTTATCGGTTAAATTTTGTGAGGATCTCCAAAGGTTCTCAGCGGATATTGAAAATTCAACGGGAGTTGATTGTTTATATTCTGCAATTTGTTCAGCGTCATTAATGTATTTAGAAGCATTTGCTAAAAAAAAAATCATAAGCACAACAAAAAATTCTTCTGAATCAAAAATGTTTACTTGGTATTAAAAAAATCATTTTATTTTTGTAAACCCGATAAAGTCTTCAACAGACATTATTTTGATTCTCAGTCCAACTTTATCTCCATAAGTTACACGTTCATTTGATTTGTTTATAAAATATAAAAACTCTTGAATAGGTTTTTCAAGGTTGATGCATTCTGCTGAATCGGACTTTTTCAACTCAACCCCAATGCCTAGCAAACAGGAAAAGTTCCAGTTATTTAATATTATGTCAAACCAATGAGGAAAAGGTCGTAGTTCACATTTTTCATATTCTTCAATAGATTTGAATAAAAACCTAACTTTGGATTCGACCCAGCCTTGCCAATTGCTGTAAGATTGCTGGTCATCTGCGTTAACGAAAATTGCCAAAATAATGTTGTATTTTTCCTCCAGACAAAAAGGTTTTACCAGTTTCATCCATCTATTAACTGATTTGTCTGTTTTTAAAATCTCGTTTGCAAAAAGGAATTCTTGCTTGATGACTTGCATCGTTGTATGCGAAACGTTGTGCGTGGTGTTCATTGATGGAAAAGCCGGAGTGATAATTGGCATTAGATGTGAGCAGTCGTTAGTGTTGATTCTAGGGTTCCACGATTGGTAATTTCTGAAACCGTACTCTTCAATCGAGTCTTCAACGGCGAAAATTTTAACAGCTTTTGGCCATTTCCAATCCGAATAAACTTCATAGAACTTTTCTAATAATCGATTAGGAAGCAAGTCTGGATTTAATTGACAAATTTTCGTAATCAAAATCATCCAGGCAACGCCTCCAAAATAACCCATAACATTTGAATAAATACCCCTGACTTTAGCCCAGTACTTTATAAACCTAGCGACCGTGACGAAAGCAGCTTTGTTGGGTATTAAACGAAACATAACTTCATTTACACGGCAACCGTTTATCGACCTTGCGGATTTGTCATCTAAAAACTTTAAAATATTGTTGTCCAAAATATTGTTAATGCTTACGTTTTGAAGCGCCAGACTGGCTAATAGTAAGTCAATGTCAATCCCGGAAAAAGTTAACTTCATTATTGGCGTGTAAGCATCTGGTAAACTTTTAATAAACGTAATCTCGTCAAAACGTTCAAGGTAATTTTTAAACTGAACGAAAAACTCGTGGCGAGTTATGAAGTTAGGAACCACACAGAGCGCGTCTATGTCGCTGTTAGGACTGATAATTCCAAGTCGATAAGAACCAAACGTAAATATCTTAGCGCTAAAGTGTTGTTTAACGGTTTCGGTACCTGTTAATTTTTCGTATCTTTCATTCACCCAATGTTTTAAAAGTTTATTTAACTTGATTAATACAGATCGACGTTCTTTGTAACGAGCAACTGACTCATATAAATTTAATTTATACATAAACGTTTCTATTTTCTCAGTTTCTTCGATGTCATGACTAATACAAAGCTTATTCGACTCAACTACGTGATTTGCTAACTCATTTTTTTTCATAGTAGCATTTTCATTTCGTATACAGCAAAACAAATAGCTCTAATCGTATAAATCTCAATTTGGCATTATGATATTTATTTAAGCGTTCAAACACGTGCGAAGAATGTAAATGTTTCAAATAAAATTTTAATTAAGTAATTATCTAATTATCGATTTTATCATGGGTTTTAACTCATTGAAAAATTCGATTATTTTCGGAGTCAGTTCGAATTCGGTTTCCACTTCTTTATAGTCGTTTGCATGTTGAGAAATTTGTTGCCATTTTTTTTGAGTCAATTCTGGCGCTGAAAATCCTGCTTTGCAAGCATATTCATTGGTCTCTGTAATATATACGAGAGGTTCACATTCATAATCATTAGAATCGCTAGTTTTCACTTTACAACAGTTTTGCAATCCACATGGGTACGGTTTACGTTGGCAAACGTTGCGTATTTCGCATGAATTTTGTTGTTGGTTATATATGTAATCGTCTGGGCATATGCATTTAAAACTCCCAAAGCTATTTTCACAAACTGCCTTATCTGGGCAAATGTTTTTATCTAAGCATTCGTTAATGTCAATGCATGTTTCTTTAGTTTCGTTGGGATAAAAACCAGGTTTACAAATACAGATATTTAAGCCACTAACTGTAGCAAGATCTGAGTTGTTCTTGTTACAAATCTTGCTATAATTAACAACTTCCGAAGAGTGCACTATGAAGCATGCAAAGGTTATAATAAAACTCAACATCATTTAAATTGCACACCATTTTTAGATAAATATTATTTTTGGGTGCGAATTATAAAAAATCTCCTCGAGACGTGTATTGCACCTATTAAAAAAGTTAAGCAAAATGACTGATTATTATCCAGACTCTAATAACACCGGAAAAACTTACCATGTTGTTAAAGGATCAATGGAATCCTTAGCTCTCAATGGTTTTGCGATCGCTACGCTTATGGATGCCTGCATAAAGCTATCCAACGGTAAAGCGTTCTCACAAGTTGGAGCGGTTGGAGTAATTATAATCTTTGGTGGTATCTTACAGTTCATTGGAGGTATTTATGAATTTTATCATAACAGGTGTATTTCTGGAGGATTATTTATTCTGTTCTCATTATTTTGGATTATGAGACTAACATTAGACTCTACTTTGATTCCATATTGGTTTATCAATCCAGTCTACTTAGGCGAAGACACCAACAACAACAGAAGCATTACTGATTCAAGCCATGAACCATTAGCATTTAATCACTTTAATGGATTTTTCCATCTATTATTTTTAGTTATTATTCTCCCTTATTTATTAGTTCAACTCAGACGAAAAGAATGGATAATGCTTACAACTGTAATCTGTGTTACTGTAGTTTTACTTTTATCAGCCATCAGTGGTCTGTATAACTTAAAAAATTTAAGAGTTGCTATTGGTGCCTTTGAACTTATAGCCGCCCTACTCGCCCAATTCGTTGCTACTGTTGATGTATTTGATCTAGGTGGTTTATCTTCATGGACTAAAATTATAAGATTCTACGGTAAATCTAACTCAACAAGAGATGCAGCTTTATAATCTAGTGTTAAATATAATAATCTTATCTAATTAATTTATAGTTTTTTTCCCAGTAGATAATATTATACTAAAATAATTCTCATTAATGAAAAAACTATTTCCTTTCGCCTATTATTGTTCGTTTTTTTTTACTAATGATAATCACATTACATACAATATAAAGGTCATGTATGTATTTAGTTTTTAATTTGTTTTTTTAGATTACCTAAAGCGCAGCTTTGTAACTTGGAACCTGTCATTTATTTTTCTTCTGACAAAAAAACAAGCTTTCTGTACCACAGCATCAATATTCTGTTTCCAATATGTAAAGATACACAAGGCAAAATTTATGAACTTATTTTAGACATGTATAAACCTATTATTAAAACCACAAAAATAATTACAAAATTAGATACAATTGATAACAATTCTAAAGAACAACTTTTTGATATAATACTAACTCTTCAAAACCTGGCTTATGAAAATGAGTTAGATTACTTGCAGACTTCAAGTTGCATTCAAGAGAACGATTAATAAAAAAAATACAAAAAAAAAGATTACCGACAATATTATTTGCGAAAATAACTAAATTAATAGGATTATGTTGTCGATTAAGTCTAAAATTAGCTATATAATCGGCCATCTATCAATATATTCAAAAAATTCACTTTTAACTTATGTAGCTAAGCGAGGGTTTCAGACGTTTTGTTGTAAGTTTAAAACGAAGCATCGATTTTTTAACAGGGTCAATAATAGTACTGGTTCATCTTCAGAGCGCAAGAATACGTAAACAAGATACTTTGGCAGAACTACATGTTTCCAAATGTACTACTATCAATCCTTGTCATTTTGCGTTGATTGCAGATTTAGATCAAGGTAGTAGAAGAATAAATGAATCTGGTGACGTGTATTTTGAAAGCAGAATTATGCTTGGCAGTCTCATTATCGATGAAAACAATATTAAGCATGTTTCAATTAATATGTATGTTGACGCACCTGTCATCGGCAGTATTGCGTACCAAGGCCGAGGCATGGAACTAAGTGAATTGTTAATGTGGCAGTCAAAATTGTATGCTTTCGATGACCGTTCCGGAATTGTGTACGAGCTGTTACTAGAAAATAATAATGCTGTTGGCAAATTACCGGCTTTTATCAAACGAGCAAGAAAATCTAACAAAAATATTCAAAGCGATATAAAGTGGAATGACATTAAATTTACAGTTATTCCAAGATACATCATCACGGAGTCGTCCACTTCACAAAAAGGTATGAAAATCGAATGGGCTACTATCTTTGGAAACGATATGTTCATAGGCAGTTTCGGAAAAGAATTTACGATGGAAGAAGGAGGAAAGATATTAAGCGAAGACAACATGCTTGTGGTAAAAATTTCTGAAGCAACAGACAGGTTAGAGCGCTTTGATTGGACCAATACATACGAGAAAATAAGAGCCGCCGTCAATGCTTTATCACCTGGATACATCATTCACGAAGCAGTTTTGTATAGACAGTCATCTGAAGAGTGGTATTTTTTGCCTCGCAGAATTTCGACTGAACTGTATAACGTACGCAACGACACTTTTAAAGGCGCCAATAAAATAATAATTTTGGACAAACATCAACAAACTCGTGTGGTTACTATTCCTTTCGGTTCAAAATGCAAGATGCGAGGCTTCAGTAGCGCGAAATTTGTTCCTGGCTTCAAAGAAAAACTAATTATCGCTTTACGCTCAGTAGAAAATGAGGAAACAGCGATTTTCCAAACTTATTTATCTATCTTTTCAATTAATGGAGAAATTCTTTTAGACGAAGTTCTAGTAAGCGACAAATATAAATTCGAAGGTATAGAATTTATTATGTAAATGGTTTCTACGCGCTCTAACTATTCAAACTAAAGATGAGTTTCTAATAAAACTTACTAATTTAACAATTTACTAAAATTAACACTGCCGTCTTCTGAGAATTCGTAAGCTAAACTTGAAAATTCAGTTTCATTTAACGTTTCACCAATAGTTGTCAGTAAATTTTTGAGTATTATCCAATCAATGTAACCGTTCTTATTGGATTTTCCGTCAAACAAGCCAAATTTCATGAAACAAGAAAGCATGAAGTTAGTGTCATCAGCTTGGTTCAGGCTGTATTTATTATGCCACTCTAAAAACTGATCAAAATAAACTTTCCCGTTGAAACGTTCAAGGAGAATTTCAATATCGGCATTCGAAGGTGATCCGCCATAGATTCGAGACAAACGTACAGCTTCTTCAACTGTTAAAGGTCTAGTATTTTTGTAATAAGCTTTAATATTCAAGTTATTCATTTATCAATCAAAATAAATAGCTGTTAAATAGATGTAATGTAAATTATAAATGTATTTAATTAAATCGTGGAAATATACAAACATTATACGAAGTTATTTGTTGTTGAGCTGGAATGTCTCTAATGATTTTTCAACGTAAATCAGGTCAGATAACTTGCCAATGTCGTTGATGTGTTTTTGACCCATTTCACAATATTTAGTGAACGAAACATTTTCGTTTAGATAATCAAATATAAAAGATCTCGTTAAATTTTTATCATCATGTATTTTTTCTGAAACTTCAAAATTTTCATTAGGTTCGTCGAAATTAGAAAATAAATTTTTCGTTTCTTCTAAGCTAACAAATATATTAGAATGCTCGTGATAAAGCATTGAAAATCCTTGTAGATTTAAAAAATTTACAACACTATTAATTGTAGCGATTTCTGTTGAAGCCAGGTTTGTTAACTGAGGTACTCGTATTTGGTCAGTATTTCTTAGTATGTTAGGTTCAGGCCTTCTCCACATATTGGTACCTTCGACATTCTTTATTGCTGGCCAAAGCTGAAAGAGTGAAAATGTATCATAAGAATCATTTAAAATAGGTAATGAATTGTTTAGTGTTTCTTTCTCGTTTGTAATAAGTTTAGCTTTTTTAGAAGAGTTTGACAAGTTAATCAGACTATGTAAAAAAAAATCAACAGTTTTGGAGCATGGATTTCGCGGTAATTCTGTTTCAAGCCTACAACGATCGATGTATGGCAAGCTCGACAAGTAAGATTCGATATCGAATTCTTCTGCAACCATAAAAGCTGGCAAATTGTTTAAATTAGCTTCAATGTTGGAATTTCCTTTGTGCTCCACATGCTCATCCTCGTAAGCAATTAATTTATCGTGCTCTTCTGTGTTGTTTACATTAATTTCTTCGAAAAAAGGATGCTGGTACTTACTCTCAGCAAGATTAAGTTTACTATTAGCGTATTGTTGATTCTCAAGGAAAAATTCTTGTGCTTCGATACAGCCTAAAACGTACAAACCATACTTTTTAAGAAATACTGCGGCAGCGAAATGATTGTCGTAGAAAGCGTCCTCCACGTTAAGGTCTTCTGGTAACGAAGACCATAAAGAAATAAACAAATCCTCAACACAAGGATCACAGTTTGATAGTATTTGTTTTAACGTAGATACGGTTATTTGCTCCGCTTCAGTGTAGCCAAAAGTCGATGTGGCATTAGTCATCCCACTGCATTGGAACCTGTAAAAAGCAGTTACGATGCGTTCTAGCAACCGAGAATGACTAAATATTTTTTCAAGGCGCTCATCAGTTAAGTCGATAAGTTGTGACTGCGGCTCCACGTCTGAATTAACTGGTAATACTTGCAAACAGAACTTTAACTGTGGAGTAAAATCAACAAGATCTGATTTTTCAATTGCAATTAAATTACAATATTTTATTAGTTCACTTCTAAGTTCCTTCCACAACAACGCCGCGAATTTGCAACGTAATTTTGGCCAATCGCAGGTCGTTGCATAAGTTATATCGAAAAAAGGCGTAAGATTAGCTAAAGTCTGCCACAGTATGACTATTATTACTTGTCGTACACTTATAATAATGTAATTTGTATAAACTGAACTTGTGTCAATTAATTTTAAGTTCTCATGTAAATGCCATTTAAAACGAGATTCGATTTCGATGCGAACAGCTTGTAAAGCACTCGCAGCAAATGGAAGGATGTGAATATCGTCTATTTCATGGAGATACTTTTGTGTTTGAATGTTTTTATAGTGGTTTTCCGAAGTATAGTTTGAATTAGCATCATCTTGAAAGTTATTTGCGTTTTGTTCTGATGCGCGATTTTCATTTATGTTTTGAACATCAAGTAGTTTTAATTTTGCTAATACTCTTTCGGCTTTGATTCGGCATTCTTCAAACCAATGAGTAATACGAACTTGTACTTCAGGGTTAGGTACATGGCGGCTTTCAAGGCCATGTGAATCTCCGACTTTGCATTCCGTAGAAGGTTCATTATCTTGCTGTATATTATCGTTGATCACAGTATTTATGTCAGACTGTACGGGTTCAACTTCTTTTGATAAATATTGACTTAAAGCTTGCAAAATTGAATCAGGCTCCTGGTAAATTTTGTTTATAAACGACAAAGTTTCACTATTATCCATATTTATACAGGAATTGTAATAAAGTGAATGAAAATCGTAATAGCCTAAACAAAATAATGAAGTTTTTACATGTTTAATCTTGCATATTTTTTCGTAAACTCGAATCCGAGCCGACACAAAGTTACATTTGCTTATTCGAACCATAGAAATAGATTCCATTGTTGAATCATCTTGATGTACTAATATAGCATTGTTATTAACGAGATATAACTCAATGTAAACGGCTGCGCATTTGATAAAAGAATCGAATAGTGCATTGAACTTAGCGAAGAAATTTTCTGCCACCCGGTAATCATTCATCATGGTATTCAAAGTCTCAAAATTAAAAATCTCGTCCTGGCAAATACCTGATAAAATGAATCTAAATATCAACTCACTAAGTACTCCTAACAGTAAGTCAAAAACTTGTGGATATATACTTATACGCTCGATGAAATCTGGGTAATTAGGCCCATAAATGTCAGAGTATTTTTCATCTGAAGCGAAATAAGATTGTTTAGTCTTCTCATCTAAATATTTCTGAAATATTTCGAACAGCTTAGTGTTTCTATAAAATAACGAAAGATAAATAATAACTAATCTAAGTATAAATTTAACGCGACAGTAAAGTGGAATTTTTGACTCGCTTGTTTGTATGTCCTGCAAAGATGGTAAGATAGCATCGTCACATTTAATATCAACCTCCATCAAATAATGTAGATTAAAAAAGCAAATAAACGAAGCTAAACAATCAAATGACCAAACAAGTTTGTCTGAGACTATTGCCGTGAGCTTATCACTTAAAATCAACCGTTGGAGAAATGATTTAGAAGTTTCACGTTGATTTAAAAAATAGTTAGATAAACTTATAGGCTCATTAGAAAGTGAAATCTGATTCGCAATTTTTATTAGTAAATCGTTTGATCGAGGTTGAAAAAAAATTTCGATATACTTTTTCAAAGAAATGAACATGTTCAAATTGAAATTATCTTGAATATTAGTAGGAATACAATTATAAACAAAAACTACCAAAAAGTCGCTTAACTTAGTATCTTTCCAGTTTACCAAGCAATTGGCTTGACAATTTTCATTGTTTATAGCTTTTGAACATTCGTGAAAATAAAGTAATCGAACAAAGTTTAATATTACGTCTTGAAAACTTTTAAGACTTAAGTTTGCTGGATTTAAACATAGAAGTTTAAATAACATGTTTTTCAGCAATGAGAAATCCAATTCGTTAAATAATGCACTGGTAATTTTTTCTGTTATGTGAACAATATTAGTAATTCCTTGGCTAATGTATTCGTTGATAATACAGGAAAAATAAAACAAAACATCAGCAAATAATGATCCTCGAACATCTGATACAACAGAATGTGATTTTACACTTTGATTAAAGTACATCGAAAGCAATATCTTTTCAGAAAACGTCAGATATTCAGCTTGAAGGACCAATATAGGAATTTTAATTTTGTAGTTGTTTTTAGTTTCTTGTAAATTTTCTAATAACTTCGACAAAGCACACCAACGGGCCCAACCACTCAAACAAGTAATAGGTTCTGTTTGGGATGTTTGATTAACTAAAAATAAAGTAGTATTTAAATTGGTTGTCCTCGCGAAATACATATAATCTGGATTTTCTAAATAAATATTTACAAACTGAGTAAATTTATTATAACTCGGATGTATAAACTCAATACCTGATTGCATTATAGTCGAACTTTTCTCGTGATATTGTTTAGCGGTGTCACTTTGGTAATTAACAATATTCATTGATAATCCATCTACAATTCTGTTGTACCCTGCTTCATTTTGTTCATATAATTCACTTTCAACCTTTAACATGATTTCTTCTTTTGTTTTTTGATCATTCTGAATGTCGTTTATGTAATTATGAGCGTATTGCTCGTTGTTTTTGTGGGTCAAACCTGAATAATTTGAGTCAAAGAAAAAATCGTTTCGGTTGTTCGGTGTTTTACTTTCCATTTTATTGTCATACCCTGATAAGCTTTCGTAAAAATTACTGTTTTTCGTATTAATGTAAGAACCAGAATTAAAATACTGATCAATTGAACAGGATTTTGATAAATCATCTTTTAACAATTCGTACATTCTGCTAACATATGCTACAGATGACAAACGATGCATCTTAGCCCGTTTTACCTTTTTAATTACATCTGGATTCATGTTGAACACATTTACTGCTAAAAATAAATTATCTTCTCTCGGTTGAATTCCTGACGCTTTTCGTAGTAGTTGACATATTCTGCTTTCAATCCTAAACAAATGTTTCAAACGCTTGCAACTTACTTAGCGACATAAGTTTCAGTTCTGTAAGACTGAAAAATGACCAACGGCCAATTTACACTAGATAACAAATAAGGAGAAGATTGATCATGCGTTTGCGTC